GGCGAGCTAGCCCATAACCTCCTCCAGTTCTGCAAGTGTTTGCAAGACTGATACATAACCTACAAGCATGTATGTTTTAGCATCGCGAGGAAGAGATGATAATAAATAACTAGGGCTGTCTTGTTCACCTGATTGCTTATAGTGGCGAAAGTGGTTCGGGCAAAACGGAAGCCACCAAACTGATCCTCCGTTACCTGGCAGCGATAAATCAGAAGCACACTGCAACACAGCAGGTACAACAGCCCGACTGAAGGCAGCTGAGCCAGTCCAAGACCAGGGGTCCATTCTGACTTCCGTTTGCACCATGCTTTCCAGGCACAGATCTGGGCTTTAAAGCTTTGTGTCTGAGTGCTGTTGAGGTTTTCCTGTCCCAGCGTTTACCCAGGAAAACCCACGTTTAACTGCTGAACTGGAGCAAATGTCGATCTGTAGAAAATGTGATTGCTTTTTGCTCCAATTAAGCAGTAAAATGCAAGTTTTTCCCAGGGAAAGGACTGGGATCAAAAAACAAACCGCTTGGATGCAGAGCTTTGAAGGCCGGATCGGTGCCTGAAAACATGACACAAAAGGAAGTCTGGATGAGCCCCTAATCTGATTAAAAGGTCTTGAGTCTCCATCTCTGGGGTGGCACTGCCAAGTTTGTTTGATGGGCAACTGCAAAGGGGATGGGTTGGAGAGCGTGAGCCATTCTGAGCTTTTTAAAAAACCTGATCAATTGCACACTGATTGCCTCCCAACCTCTGCTTCCTTCATGCACTTCCGCAGATAGAGGTACAGAGAAGCCGTGTGCAGTGTGAATGTTTTGCCGTGATTTAAGAGAGTGAAACCAAGGATGGATTAAATTGCATGCAGATTGGTCCCTCATTTGCCTTGGTCTAATCTGAGCTTAACCACTGCCCCTTCCCATTCCTCTGTGCTTGGGTTAGCTACCACCAATCTGGATAATCAAGAATTAAGGGTCAGTTGCTCCTCAGGATGTGCCTTGAAGGATGGTGACCTGTACGCAAGGGGGTTGCATTGGAGGGTCCAACCTTCAAGTTTACTGTGAAAAGGCAGCTTCTACGGTTGCCCCATCTGTCCTACCCTATTTGTTTTGGGGTACTAGGGAAGGATCTGAGTCATTGCCGGATTTATGTATAAGCTAAACAAGCTATAGCTTTGGGCCCCATTCTCTTGGCCCCCCCCAAAAAAAATTAAGGGAAAAAACTGGATGTACATTTCCAAAATGTAAGATAAAAACAAATAAAACCTACATACAGCAACAGTGTTTTGTGTTGTGTAGGCTCCTGTGATGTACATATTTTGTTATGTGCAAATGGCTTTTGATACCTATTAGGTCCATAAATTACCATAGAGAATATTCAAGACAAAAAACAGTGACAATTTGTTGTGGACAAAAGACAGCTGGACATAGAAAGGGCCCCATTACCTTCAGTAGCTTAGGGCCTCATCAAACCCTGATCTGAGTGTGTAACATGCACCCTACATTTCTTGTTGCAGGGTAGTTGGCCATAAAAATCACATTCAGTCAAGGGTGGGTTGATTGTTCCAGGGGTTAAACCAGAAATGTGTGAGCCCTTAGCACATTGCGTGTGTGCAGCCTTTGCCTTCCATGTGAATATCCACATGTGCTGTACACCTGCAACATTGCAGCTGATGGGTCAGTCTTCATTGCTGTGAAATGCGCACATCTTGGCACCCTTGGCAGAGTTCTTGATCCTCAGATGCACCCAACTAAGCCCTAGAGCATAGACCATCTACACCTGGCCCTTGGGATGCTCTCCAAGCCACTCCTTTCTCTGAGATGCACCCCTTACTCCCCCTGCTGAGCACCCTCCTTGCATGATGGGTCTCCCGAGCGTGGGGAGACGACCCCATTATTTGTTGTGGAGTTTGAGCTTTAAACGAAGGAAACAATATCCTCCCCCTCATTGTCGCATGCCGGTGTGCTTTCTCCTCCTGTTTTGTATTTCGCTTTATGCGGCGGTCGAGTCAGATCCTTGAAGCGACTCCTCTGCTGGAATCCTTTGGAAATGCCAAGACGGTGCGGAACGACAACTCCAGCAGGTTTGGGAAATTTGTGGAACTCTTTCTGGAGGAGTAAGTAACCACACGCCCTGCGTCTTTCTGTAGTTTTTCTCCTCTGTCCTGCCGCCTGCATACTTAATGCTCCCGTACGACCCTGCCCGAACTCTTAAAGGGCCCTGATCCTAATGCCCCTACCCTGGGAGTTGTAGCCAATGTTAGTCCCACTCAGAGTAGACCCATTGAAATTAATGGCCATGGCCAACTTGGAACTACTAATTTCAATGAGTCTACTAACTTCAATGAGGCTACAACCCACTGGCAGGCAATTCAGGTTTCCAGCCCATGAGATATTGGGCTCATGTTAGGGGGTGGCCCAGAGGGCATGAGCCCAAGATCTTTTGCATCAGGACCCAGATCTCCTGCCCTTCTCCCTCCCTTTTAAAAAAGCTTTTTTATTTCTTACTTGCTTGTAAGGCTGTTGTGTAAACTGCAAAGCACCATTCTCATTTGCCCAAAGGCACCTTATACAATATAAAATTAGCACATGCACAGGGGTCCTCTGCCCTGAGTAGGAATGAGTTGAGAAATTAAATTCAGTTCACATTTCAGTAATTCGCCCTTCCCAAAACAATCGGAGTACCAAAATGCAGCCATCCTTCAAAATGTGCACCTTTTCTGAATTTTGCAGTGTAGCCATGTAGCCTATGCAAAAATGCATAGCGTAAATCTTTCTTGAAATCTTTCACATAAAAGTGAAAATAATGTATTAGGGGAAATTGCTTTGCCAAAAAAAATTGTGTAGTTTAGGGGAAATTGCATACAAATGGGTGTATTAAGAGAAATTTGCACTAAAATGTTGCTTAATTTTCATGAGGACATACTTCTAAGGGGAAACATGCACAGGATTCTGCTGTTTAACCGCCCCCACCCCCCAAACCCAGTGCAGATGAAGGAATTGTAAGCCATCCTACTACGCTGCCTTTGGGCTAGTTAATGATGGTGCTTTGTAAGGCCAGAGGTGTCCCTAGAGCAGGAGCAGCCAACCTAGTGTCCTTCAGTTGGTTAACTCCAAGTCCCATTATCCCCAGCCAGCTTAGCCAATGGTCAGGGATGATGGGACTTGTAGTCCCAAACATCTGGAGAGCAACACGTTGCCTATCCCTACCCTAGAGGTGGGCATTCCTTTCCCTTATTTTGTGTTGTTTTAATGGTGGTATTGTGCTTTTTGGTATACCCAGCCACAATATTTTTCTCGTGAACTGGCAGTTAATTAGTTAATTAATTAATTAATTAATTAGTTAATTAAACAACTACATAAAATTGCCCAAAATGCTGTGGTCATCTTCTGAGACCCTTCTCCAGAGGTGAGGCAGTCAAAGAAAGGGCCTTATCAGTAGTGGCTCCCTGCTTGGGAAATACTCTCCCCGATGGGGTTCACCTGGTGCCAAGTCTCATGTCTCTCCAATGCCTGATCAGCAACTTTTTATTTACCCAGGCCTTTTTATAAAGTAGCTATTAGATCTGCTTCAGCACTGCTGCTACTTATTTTACCTTGCTTTGCTGCTTAGCATCAGATTCTATAGTGTTTTGGGACGCGGGTGGCGCTGTGGCACCTATGCAAAGCACAGTTTGTTGTTACAACTGACTCAAGCTTCTGGGAATTATGGAATTGGGGATGGCTGCCACAGCCCTGGCCTGGCCCTGTTGATATGTTGGTGCACAATATGCTCTTCCTTTCTCATGGCACCTCAGGTTTGAAATAATAGAAAGTACCTTCTACTGGGTCCAGGATCCTATAGTTGTAAATCAGGCTGGATATTTATTTATTTTTCTATTATGTTTTTAATGTAATTTTACTGGTGTTAGCTGCCCTGAGCCCGGCTCTGGCTGGGGAGGGCGGTGTATAAATAAAATTATTATTATTATTATTAATAATGAGATTGTGTCTTGTCGGAATGTAGAAGTGTTGTAAGCCAAAAATAGCTGATCTCCTGAGTTTATGCCAATAAAACTCAGAAATGTGAGGAGTCAGGATTCCAACATTGTTTATTGCAAAGCAATAGGTTGCAGTCGGATCATTCCACAAAACTGCAACACCACCCGGTGGTCTAGGCAGTGGCGTTTATAAAGTTTCAAACAAAGTATTTCAATTTTCACCAGTCATATACATCATTACCTCATTTCATGATTAATATCCATGCGCAATAAGCACTGGCAATTTCTGCTGATTAAGTTCTGATTCCCACCGTGTTGTGTTACATTGTGTTAGAGTGCATGTCGGGAACCTGTGTTACGGGACGGAAAAGACCCAACACAAGTATTAAATTTTGTCTCTGCAGCAACGGGTTCATTTGTGGTGCCATTACTTCGCAGTACCTTCTGGAGAAATCAAGGGTCGTCTTTCAGGTTAGGCTCTGTACTTCTCCTTCATTTCCCTAATAATCTTCTGTTGTAAGCAAGGGCCGGCTTTTAAAAAAGAAAGATGGCTCCTCCATCTACTTTGCAGGTGTCCTGTGGCCAAGCTACTGAGTCATTTCCCTGACTTGTAAAATGTTGCAAGCTGGAAGAGAACTCTTAGGAGAAGGATGAGCTTTTCCCAAGAGTTCTGCAAGAGAGTTTGGAAATAGCAGGCCAGTTCTAAATCTATCTTTCTATTTATTAATTGCATTTATATTCTCTTTTTTTATCCAAGGACCTCTTTTTTTTTAAAATTAATTTGTATTATGCCCTCCATCTGAAGATCTCAGGGTGGTTCACAGTTGACATACGTGGTTCTTCCTCCTTCCTCATGAGTTTCCTTATGAGTCTCCCAGGTTCAAGTCTTACACTCAAACCACTACACCACACTGGCTCCCATCAATCCAACAAAAGGACACCTGCCACTTGACTGGCATTTTAGTATCATAGAATTGTAGAATTGGAAGGGACCACAAGGGTCATCTAGTCCAGCCCCCTGCAATGCAGGAATCTTTTGGCCAAGGTGGGAATCAAAACCACAGCCCTGAGATTAAGAGTCTCATGCTCTAAGACTGAGCCATATTGTTTTCTATGCCTGCTGAAACATTTTTACTTAGGCAAGCTACTGAGACATGTACTTTTATTTTTGTGTGTGTGTGTGTGTGTGTACTGTTTATTTTTATCCATATTTTGATACCGTAATTTTTTGTTTGCTTTTTTATCATTATTTTTAAATGAATATTTTATACTATTATGTTAACCACTTAAGGTGTTTTTTATTATTAAATTGTACTTTATATTTGCATAAAAATATGTATATACGGCTATTCCTTTAAAATATATGAGCAGCTTACAATTATGCATAAAACCATAGAATTAAATATATATATGTAAAAGTTTAAATTAGACATCAGCTATTCATACAAAAAAAATTATGTATCGCTATTTAAAAATAAATAAATCAGCACGTGAATGAAATCTGTCTCATGCTGTTTCTATGTCCATATTTGTCCTCGTAATGATTCCCTCTTGTATTCTGTGCCTTGTCATGTAGGCCAATAATGAACGGAACTACCATATATTTTACGAGATGCTGGCTGGCCTCCCTGCTCAGCAGAAGCGGAAATTCGGCCTTCAAGAGGCAGAAACATACTATTACCTGAACCAGGTATGGGCCTCTCCTTGAAATGCCAATGGAACAGAAGGATAAAAGTGCTGGATATTATTCTTACAAATACCCAAACATTTCAATCAAGGAGGAGGTGCTCTGTCCCAGGCGGTGGTCCCAATCAGATACGGGTCTTGGCCAGGGGCAGAGAGCCTTTTTCACCCCAGGGTCTGCATTCCCTTGCGGGGAACAAATGCCTCCCTTTCATCATATGTAGGGAGGTAACTGCGAGATTCCTGGCAAGGTGGACACTGAGGATTTTCACCGCTTGCTCGACGCCATGGAAATCCTGCACTTCACTGCCCACGATCAGGACAGCATCTTCCGAATGTTGTCTTCCATTCTACACTTGGGAAATGTCTACTTTGAAAAATACGAGGTTAGTTACTGGGATGGAAATGTAAGTCTAGTGTGCACTCTAAGGAAACGCTAAAAAAAAACCCAATAAACCACACCACTTCTTCTTCCAGAGTGAGGAAGCTTCAGGAGGTAGTCTGGTTGGCTGCATGGTGCCTTGATGTTTTCCCCCTGACTACGTGGTCCCTGACTGCCTGGATCATGTAGCCAGCAAGAACTTTTAATCGTATTGGTGCAAAGAGGGGGGAGCCAAGCGAGAGCGAACCAGTGTGAAAAATGTAAATTGGAGTGTGGGGAGGTCAACTCCCATTTTCACACTGGTGATGTTGCCCCATGAAAATTGGGCACAGCTGACCCAGTGTGCGGCTGCTGTGAGAAAGGCAAATCCCATGCTGGGGTTAACTAGGCAAGGAATTGAAAATAAAACTGCCAATATCATAATGCTGACTATACAAATCAATGGTGTGGCTGCATTTGGAATACTGTGTACCGTTCTGGTCGCCTCATCTCAAAAAGGATGTTGTAGATGTATATTTTCAGGACCCACCTGATTTTTGTAAACATAGATTGCTTAAAACTGCTTTGAATATTGTTTTAATGTTGTAACCTGCCCTGGGACCTTAGGGTGAAGGGCAGGTAATAAACAGACAAATATACATAAATACTAACTAACTAACTAACTAACTAACTAACAAATATTACAATTGGAGAAGGTTCAGAAAAAGACAACTAAAATAATCAGGCAAAGGGAGTGACTCTATGAAGAAAGGTTGCAGCATTTGGGACTTCCAAGTATAGCGAAAGAGGTGGCATAATACTTACAAGTTTATAAAATGATGCTTGTTGTGGGAAAAAGAAAAGAGACGAGTTTTTCTCCTTCTTTTGTTGGACGCAGTGCCAGATTGCCAGATAGACAGAGTCGGCACCAACCTATGGGCTCCAAACCTTTGGGGGGGGGGGGACGACAACAGATCAAAATAATATTGATTTGATCTTGAAACGAAGTGAAAAGTTCAAGCTTTCTTAGTTCAATGTTATCCTACTAGAGCGTGCACCCAAGGGGCCCCTCAAGATTTCGACTGCCTAGGGGCCTCAACAGGGTTTAATCTGGCACTGGCTGGACGGGAAAGGAAGCTGACTGTTGAAAAACGTTGGACAGATAAATTAAACAAAGGACTTCTTATGCAATACAATGTTAAACTTTGGAACTCACTCCCACAGGAGGCAGTGGTGGTCACCAACTTGGATGGCTTTAAAATAAGATTGGACAAATTAATGGAGGAGAGAGCTGTCAGTGGTTACTTGCCATGATGGCAAGAGGCAATAATACCAGTTGCCACAAGAAGGGAATGTGCTGCTCTTGGGTCCTCCTTGTGGGTTTCCCACAGGCACCTGGTTGGCTTCTGTGACGAGCGGATGCTGGAGGAGGTGCTGCCTTATCCAGCAGCCTGTTTTTGCTGTATGTTCTTGAATGTCAACCATAAGTAAATATAAGGTTGCCCAGCCTCTTTGCAAACATGCCTTGACTTGGTACTTTGCAGACAGATTGCCAGGAGGTGGCTTCGGTGGTGAGCGCCCGGGAGATCCGCGTTGTGGCCGATCTGTTGAAAATCTCCCCCGAGGGCTTGCAGAAGTCCATCACCTTCAAAGTGACGGTAAAGTCCTGAGTGCGGAGCTGGGAGGATGGGCACCGAAGGGCAGGTGTCTGCTACTCTGCTTCCGGGCCAAGAACAGTTAAAGGGTTCAGGAGGCAGAGACCCTTTTATTCTGACCTGGAATTCTGAACTGTTTTTTAAAAAAACCAACAAAATGTGGAGTGTTGAATATTTTGTGCTGCTTCTGTGCAATGCATCTATTTGTTGCCTTTAATTATAGAATCATATACAGTGGTATCTCGGGTTACATACGCTTCAGGTTACATACGCTTCAGGTTACACACTCCGCTAACCTAGAAATAGTGCTTCAGGTTAAGAACTTTGCTTCAGGATAAGAACAGAAATCGGGCTCCGGCGGCCTGGTGGCAGCGGGAGGCCCCATTAGCTAAAGTGGTGCTTCAGGTTAAGAACAGTTTCAGGTTAAGAACGGACCTCCGGAACGAATTAAGTACTTAACCCGAGGTACCACTGTAATTTTAGAGTTGGAAGGGCCCCAAGGTTCATCTAGTCCAACTCCCTACAATGCAGGGACTCCTGCTCAGAGCCGTTCCTGGGTTGTCTCGAACCACCAGCCTCTTGGTTAACAGCCAGATGCACTGACCCACAGGCGGGCTCTATTGTTTGTCTGTTAGTTTTTAATTATTATAATAAATTGTGCTCTTAATATTTTGTCGTAAGCTGCCCAGGGAATGTTTGTTTATGATGGGCTTCTATATAAACGTAATAATAAATTATAGTAATAATAGGCATGGTTACTCAGCAGGTTGCTCAGGGAGGGACAAATGCTTCCCTTCCCTTAGTGATGAATTGCTTAGACCAAAGAGTGTTGTTATGCCCTATATGTTACATTGCAGGAAGGAGAATGTGGTCACCTGACTTCTTGGCAAAAAGGCTCTGCCTAGAGGTATCTCATTGATTACTGCAGTCATCCTTGCCCCCCAGCCAGTTGACCTGGTGGGACAGTGGATGGACTCAGGAGCTTCCAGTTTGAGCCCAGCAGCACCTGTGGATTAGGACGGGGATGGATAGATAAAGCTTTATTTGCATTGATAGCCATGTTCAAATATATAAAAGGATGTCACATAGAGGAGGGAGAAAGGTTGTTTTCTGCTGCTCCAGAGAAGCGGACACGGAGCAATGGATCCAAACTACAAGAAAGAAGATTCCACCTAAACATTAGGAAGAACTTCCTGACAGTAAGAGCTGTTCGACAGTGGAATTTGCTGCCAAGGAGTGTGGTGGAGTCTCCTTCTTTGGAGGTCTTTAAGCAGAGGCTTGACAACCATATGTCAGGAGTGCTCTGATGGTGTTTCCTGCTTGGCAGGGGGTTGGACTCGATGGCCCTTGTGGTCTCTTCCAGCTCTATGATTCTATGAGTCTATGATTAGCCAATGGCCATAGCAACAATAAAACATTACAGTATACGCAGAAAGGGAAATTTGATATAAGAGCACAATTTAAAGTCCTGAATCAGCAGCCAGTTAGTGGCCCTTATTCTGATTGCGCCTGCTATGAACCTAGCAACCTTTGCTGTTATCTGCTCATTTTGATCTGATAGAAGAAAGGACATTGTGGCAGTGGTTGAGAGCCCTGGGATGGTTAGTACGAGTGGGGTGATGATCTCGCTCCTCAGGTCTTTGCTGAGAGTGCAAGACAGGAGGACGTGTGCCGCTGTTTCGGTGCTACCGTCTCCACAGGGGCAAAGACGTTTCTCAGGCAGGATCTTTTGGAATCGACCCTCAAGTACCGCAGATGGCAAAGCATCCAGTCTTGCAAGTGTAAAAGCACGTCTGTATTTTGGGATAGTAAGTTTGTGCAGATATGGGGCCAGAGAATCAAAATAGGAAGGTGTTAGGACGGGGGAGATTCCATGAGGTGGTGGTGGTGGGGACATGATAGTTTGTGTTACTGGCGCCAACCATCGGAGGGAAGCCATCATTCTTTTTCCTTCACTTTCTCGACAGGAAACCATGAGAGAAAAGATATACACACCCCTCACTGTCGACAGTGCCGTTGATGCCAGGTAAACAGAAACCCCATCCATCTCCACAACCGTAAAGGAGAGAGCCATGTGTAAATACTGCAACTCACCCTCAAAACCCCTACTTGTGACCTTGTCTTCTTCCATTTCTTTGCCCACAGCGCTTGTGTATGTGTTTTTTCCTTTCCTCTTTCCCTCAGAGATGCCATTGCCAAGATCCTCTACTCCTTGCTCTTTAACTGGCTCATCGACAGGATTAACAGGCTCACCTACCCCAGGCAAGAGACCCTGTCCATCGCCGTCTTGGATATCTATGGCTTTGAGGTGAGGGAAGAAGTGTTCAGCCAATTGCAACCGGGGCCTTCCCCAGAAACTTCTGTTTGGTGCCCAACACAAATGTCCCTTGACAAAGGACCTAAGATACAGGGGGGGAGG